CATCCAGGACAGCATGTTTGAAATGGATGCTGATTACTTTACCTGGTTACCAGCTTCATTGCCTTTGTAGCCTAGAGAGGACTCTGCAATCCAGAGGAGTCTTATTCTGTCCAAGCGAAAACGTATGTGATTGTAAAGCAACACCAATAACTACAGAGGCCATTTATGAAGAGCTGATTTTTCTTGAAAGAAAAATTGTGGCATTGATTGCATTATCACCATGGAGGTGCTACCAAAGTCCTAAGAGCCTCCTTGGAACCAGCAAGACCAGACATAGTTATTAGGATGATGTAGACATGCGCCGTGAGAGAGGCAGATCAACCCAGTCGCCCTCTCCAACAGAGGGTCTCCCCAAGCCCTACTTTCTGCACCTCCTCCGAAGTCTTGGCTAGATATGCAGGTTGACAGCCACCGCCCACAGTGAAGAACCCCTTGGGTAGCTGTCATAAAATTATATTCTCTGAAGTTACCTCCATGAATGTAGACAAACAACTGATGAGAAGACAGGCATCTGACTAATGGTTGCAGAGCATTTACCCTGCTGGTGTGAGGCTCTGGGTTTGATCCCTAGCACCACAAAAGAGAAAAAGAAAAAGGAAGCAGTCATAATTTAGCAAGACAGCTTTGGAGTTTGTTTTGTTTTGTTTTGTTTAGGACTGAGCAATAGCATAGCGGGTAGGGCGTTCACCTTGCACATGGCCGACACACATTCGGTTCCTCTGTCCCTCTCAGAGAGCATAGCAAGCTACCAAGAGTATCACGCCCACACAGCAGAGCCTGGCAAGCTCCTCGTGGCGTTTTTGATATGCCAAAAACAGTAACAACAAGTCTCACAATGGAGATATTACTGGTGCTCGTTCGAGCAAGTCGATGAACAATGGGAGGACAGTGCTACAGTGGAGAGTGTTTTGTTTAATATTTTAATTGAATCACAGTTACAAAGTCATTCATGGTTGGGCTCCAGTCATACAATGTTCCAGTACTTGTCCCAGTTTACATTTCCCACCACCAGTGTCCCCAGTTTCCCTCCCACCCACCATCCACCCAGGCTTACCTCTATAGCAGGCTTTTTTCTTCTCTTCTTCCCTCCCTCCCTCCCTCCCTCCCTCCATCCATCCCTCCTTTCCTCCCTCCCTCGCTCGCTCTCTCTGTCGCTGTCTCTGTCTCTCTGTCTGTCTGTCTGTTTCTCTCTCTGTCTTTTTCCTTTTGGACATTATGGTTTGCAATACAGATGCTAAAAGGTTATCATGAATATCCCTTTACCTACTTTCAACATTTTAGCATCAGTTCCTGTCCAGAGTGATCATTTCCAGGGCTGGAGTGATAGCACAGCGGGTGGGGCGTTTGCGTTGCACGCGGCGCGACCCGGGTTTGATTCCCAGCATCCCATATGGTCCCCCAAGCACGGCCAGGAGTAATTCCTGAGTGCATGAACCAGGAGTGACCTCTGTGTATCGCTGGGTGTGACCCAAAAAACAAAAACAAAAAACAGTGATCATTTCCAACTATTATTGTCATAGTGGTTCCTTCTCTAGCCTAACTGCCTTCTGCACCACCACCCCCACACACACACATACACACACACACACTTGTGGCTAGGCAAGACAACTTTGGGTCAGAAGGATTATATTGTTGGAAGGTAAACTGAGGGAGGTGGCATGGTACAGCAGGTAGGGCATTTATGTTGCACGTGGCCAGTCCTTGCACACGGCTAACCTGAGCTTGATTTCTGACACCCCACATGGTGACTCAAGCACCACCAAGAGTGAGCCCTGAGAACCACCAAGTGTAGCCCCCAGAAACTAAATAAATAAATAAAATTAGAACTATATAAAAAATACTGGCCGCAGTGCTATAGAAGGTAGATTTATAGACTGTCCATAAAAGGGGCCTTAGAGATATCTGGTTCTTTCACTTATTACAAATGAGGATAGTTGAGTTACTTGATTGCACAGCACGGGGGATGAAAGGAAACTGGACCTTTGATGCTCACTAGCACCCCTCTCTCCCCCATCCCACGTACCAAAAAACTTTAGAGTTTGTCATCGCTATCACCCCGTTGTTCATCGATTCACTCGAGCGGGCCCAGTAACGTCTCCATTCATCCCTGTCACGTGCTAGTGTAGCCCAGTGACATATTGGGGGCTCCTTCATGATCAGGGGAATGAGGACCATTCATTGTTACTGTTTTTGACATATCGAGGATGCCATGGTTAGCTTGTCAGCTCTGCTGTGTGGGCAGGATACTCTCGGTAGCTTGCTGGGATCTCCGAGAGGGATGGAAGCTTTTGGGGCAGCCTCTAATCACCTTTACAGGTGTTCCTAGTCAGGCATATAGGCGGGTATGATATTCTCAGTACCCTGCCGGGTTCTCTGAGAGTGAGAACTAGAGAATAAGAGGTTGCGCAGCCGCGAATGCCTGGAGCTTGGTTTTAGAGTCTGGATCCTGGCCGTTGATGGGGTTACACGGCAGTTGGTGGGTGTAACTGTCTAGCTACTGGAAGGTGGGGGAGCTGGGTGGAGGAGGCCCAGTCTCGAACCGAGCAGGCTTGGAGATCTCAGCCCCGGGTCCCACACACCTGGGTTCCTCTGCCGGTTCCTCGTCTAAGCGTGTGGAGAGTGGTCTCAGCATGGCTTTGGCTGGGTCCCGGAGGTCTTCAGCAGTTGGGGCTCTGCTCAGGGCGGAGAGGGAAATTCAGTCTGCCCTCCTCCAAGGAGTCCCGGTGAGGACAGCCAGGCACGGGAGCAGAAGACTCTGCCTTGTTTTCTTCCGGGAGCTTGTCATAATTCAGATTCATTCATCTGCTCAAATACTAGTTGTTTTGGGGCCAAAATTCATATATATCCCGATACTGAAATTGGACCAAGCGATAGCACAGCAGGTAGGGTGTTTGCCTTGCACACAGCTGACCCTGGTTCGATTCCTCCATCTCTCTTGAAGAGCCCAGCAAGCTACCAAGAGTATCCCGCCCACATGGCAGATTCTAGCAAGCTCCCTGTGATTTATTCGATATACCAAACACAGTAACAACAAGTCTCACAATGGAGACATTACTGGTACCTGCTTGAGCAAATCTATGAACAACAGGACAGTGCTACAGTGTTACAGTGCATACTGAAATTATTTGTTGGATTGAACCAAGTGATTCTGGACTGGAAATCAGAATTGCTGTAAAATTTTGGTAGCTGGGCCAATTAGAAAAACTTAGAGAGGAAGGCAGGGGAGCTTTCTCAAGCTCAGAGTACCATGTGAGTTACCCTGAATTCCATCCCTCCACTGCATTTCTTCTTTCTTCCACCCCCAGCTCCGCAACATCACCCCCGTGTCTCTGAGCACCGCTGGCCTTGAGCGCTGAACCATTAGACCCACACCAACACACTTAGAGGGACTCCTATTTTAAAAAAAAAATCCTGTGGATGATGGGCGTGTGGGGGGTGGGAGGGATACTGGGATTCGTGGTGGTGGGAAATGGGCACTGGTGGAGGGATGGGTATTTAATCATTGTGTAATTGAAACCCAAGCACAAAAATTTGTAAGTCTACAACTGTACCTCATGGTGTCTCACTAATTAAAGAATCCTATATGTGTGACTTATAGGCACTGGAAGATTTAAACATTTCCTCTCCCCCCATTCATTTGTGGAATGATTTTATCATTCTAGAGAAGATTTAGGCATTGAAAACACTAAAAGTATTTCATTTGATTGATATATACTTAGCCCTGCTTATAGCCGCTAATAAGCACTTGCAGGCGGAACAGCCTAATTGGCAGGATGAGTTAATGCCGAGGCCTTGCCTTTGCCAAGCACATGACACAGACCCAGAGTGGAGTGAACTGCAAACTTCATCTGCCTTTGAGTGAATGCTTCTCTGTACCCCGCCCTCCCCCACCCAACTCCACCTCCTCAGGAGCTGCTGGCATTGGCTAGGCAGACAGTTCCATGCACAATGGCCATGTGTCACAGTCTTCAGATAGGCCTGGGAGGAAGTAGGGAAGAAGGAGCTTTCTAACCAGGAGTTACCTCTGCTCTGATAGGAGTAATTGTTTCAAGGTAGAATGTGCATACTTTAAAATTTAGTTTAGGCATGATTGCCACTCAATGCTTCTTTTGCAAACCACAACACCCAAAAGGAGAGAGAGAACAAAAGGGAATGCCCTGCCACAGAGGCAGGGTGGGATGGGGGGGGATGGGGGGTGGGAGGGATACTGGGATCCATGGTGGTGGGAAATGGGCACTGGTGGAGGGATGGGTATTTGATCATTATATAATTGAAACCCAAGCAAAAAAAATTGTAAGTCTACAACTGTACCTACCTCATGGTGTCTCACTAATAAAAATTAAAAAATAAAGGCCAGGAAAATGGTTCAAGGGACTGGAGTGCATGCTTTGTGTGATGGGACCCTGGCTTTGATCCTTTGTTCTGTTCGACCCCCAGCACCTCTGAATGTGACCCAAAACCAAAAACAATATAGAACTAATAATAGTAACTATTATGATGATGGTGAATACAATCGCTGGCTGTATTATGATGAATACACTTCAGTTGGCCAGCTTTATTCATCTGGAAATGTTTGAGCAGAATACCGGGGAGAAAACTGGTCTGAAACACCCACTCATCACTGATTGAGAGTGGAGCAAGGCTGTCTGGACCTTTTATTCCTCTTTTTTGGGGGTGGGAAGGGGTGTCACACCCGGCGATGCACAGGGGTTACTCCTGGCTCATGCATCATGCACTCAGGAGTTACTCCTGGCGGTGCTCAGGGGACCATATGGGATGCTGGGAATCCAACCCGGGTCCGCCGCGTGCAAGGCAAACGCCCTACCCGCTGTGCTATATCGCTCCTCTTATTCCTCTTTAGACATTGATCTAGCACCCTTTTTCCTCACCAGCCAATTGCTGGGAATGGTCCTGTGTGTGCACAGCGAGCTGTGAGCTGCACTGTCTCCCTCCCAGCCCTGCACCCTTTGACCTGGTGCCCCGGTGCTGTGTCCCCACAGGTCTCCCAGGCAGCCGCGGACCTCCTGGCGTATTGTGAAGCGCATATGCGGGAAGACCCTCTCATCATACCAGTGCCTGCGTCAGAAAACCCCTTCCGTGAGAAGAAGTTCTTCTGTACCATCCTCTGACACCCTCAGCCACCGGACCGCCTCCTCTCCAGTCCGTAGAATCCCTGGTAGCGACTACGCATGCTCCCTGCTCCCGGCAGCAGCCCCGGTCCCCTCCCTCCCGGCCCCATCCCCAAGACTGCTAGGCCGGGCTCCCCCTCTTTTGGGTTTTCCTCGTGGCCTTTGATTTCACTTTATCTTCTTTCATGTTATTTTCATTCCTAGAAAATAAATAAATAAATAAACATCTTTGTAGTCAGATAACAAATGTGCCAAGTAACCCTGAGTATGGATTTAAAGGGCTTGTAATATTTCAACATCAACCCCACCCCTACCCCCACAGGTAGATTTCAAAGCATCTGAGTTATATTTCAATGGAGACATCATCAAAAATATAACTCGTACCTAGGAATTCACCCGTTCACAATAATTCCATGTCAGTTGAGAAAATTCCGACTGACTGAAATGTTGAGGTAAAATTTTCATGGCTCTTTTTGGAGAAAGTTCCGGAAGTCCACTGATTCCTGCTTTCTCCAGCATCCTTTTTCAAAAGGAAAGTACAAACAAAATCCAAGCCTGGTGTGCTTAAAGTAGGAATTCCTGGGATTTGGGGGTCCCATGGTTCAGATCTCGATAGAGCATTTTCCATGGGTTGCCAGTGACCCCTTTGGAGGCTTCTACCGTGCTGATGCCGTGGATAGCATAGAAGACTGGCCCTCACACAGCTGCTTTCCTGCACCCTTCCTGCTCCCAGATGCCTCCAGTACCTGCTCCCTCCCGCTGGCTCTTCCCTTGGCAGTTCCCTGAGTTGCCTACAACTGAGGGGGGAGTGGGGGGGGGGGCTTATGGGGTGTTGCTGCTGCTCCAGAGGAATAAGTCAGAATAGTCCTCTCACTTTGTGCCATTCACAACTCTGAACATTGATCTGTATCTGCTTAATCCTCCAACATTAAATCAGTGCCAGTATCTGTTTTAAAGAGAGGGAAACTGAGGCACGGCCTTTTTTTGTGTGTTTGTTACCCAAAGAGTGTAATGAGTAAGTAGGAAATCTGGGACTTGAGTGCAGGCAAGCTGACCCCCCGCGCCCTCTCTGAACCCCAGGATTTCGTGTTTGTAGTTAGGAAGACCCTGAAGTCCATGTGCCCAGTTCTCAGGGCTGGGGCCATCTGAGCACATTTCTCTTCTGCACCAGCACAGGGCATGATGGGCCCATATTGTTTCAGCTTCTGGTAGAAGGTGCTAGGAAGATGCTTCCCCAGAAGGCTAGATAGCTCTAGCTTTTCTAAACACATTTGCAGGCCCCCTCTAAAACCAATGCATACCACCCAGGATGGAAGAAGTGAATAAATCATGGGGGCAGAGAACCCTTTGTCTAAGTTTTCTTCTGTTTGTTTGGAGACGGCCCCTCTCCATGCCTCTGCCAGCAGCTTGCTGGGTAATATAGGCTTGCTGGGTAATACAGGGCAAGCCATTGTGTGCTTGAAATGCTCAAACCTGCAAATTGGGGATGATGGTAATTACTCCTGCCTTTCTGTCTACTCCTGCCTCTTTCTGACAGAGAGAGGCACTGCCATGATGAAAGCTCTGATTACCATTAGAACAAATAAATGCACTAAATGCCACAGGAGACTATAGGGAGGAATTTTGACTTCAAAGATAACATGGTTCATTTGGAGGGATAATGCAAAATGGCTTAGAAGGAGGCAAGCAGAACTTTCAGGTCAATTAATGACTTGCTTCCCTTGCGAATGCTTTTAGTGCATTTTTATTCTTTGTTCCTTTTGTTGAAACACAGTCTTGGTTTCATTAATGCACCCACAATAGCAGTGTTGTTAGGAAGCTGTGCACTTGAGCTACAGCAGAATCTGTACTGTTTGTGATCATCATACTTCAGAACCTTCTCCCTTTGGTTTGATGACCAGGATCTCTTTATTCTGCTGTCTGTGTCAACACCATTAGCCAGCCTGGCAGAGCACAAGCCATGAAAGTACAGGACAGGAGCTGAGAAAGTGGGGCAGCATGGAGACCAGCAAAAGCAGGGCAAGAAAAATATATTTCTTAGGGCCAGAGTGATAGTACAGCGGGTAGGGCATTTGCCTTGCATATAAACGACCCGGATTCGATGTCTGGCATCCCAGATGGTCTTCCAAGCACCGCCAGGAGTAACCCCTGAGCATCGCCGTGTGCAACCCAAAAAGAAAAAGAAAAGAGAAAAATATATCCCTCCTGCCTTCTGCCAAATTTTGCCCCCTCGGGTTTGGCTTTCCCTACCCCTCCCTATGCAGCCTGGCCTTTCCCCCTCCTTTCTCTCATCCTTCAGCTCTCCTGTTCCTTACAGCCCTCCATGACATGTGTTTTGGTCCATTGCTACACCTCTTCTTCCCCAACCTAGGGCTTGTGGTGAGTTTTCTCCCTTCTGATAGTAGTTGGGGTTGGTAATCCCACTGCCCTCTGACGCAAGTCAGCACCTGCACACATGCACTGAGGTGTGCTGACATGTGACTGAGGCCTTACCCCCTTCCTCGCTGTCATCCAAGCTGCATGAAATGGGAGTGGCCAGTTGTCATTTTGTGTTTCCAGTACCTGACCACTTCCCCTTCCGTATCCATCTAATGGGATGTAGTGCCCCTCCCTCCATGGATGCTGACAGGGGGAAGCCTTCCCTGTTTCCTTGGTCTGTGCCCCTTTCCTGGACGGTTAATGGGGGGTGGGGGGAGGCATTGGGCAGGGGAAGCGTGTAGGACTGGCAGGGATGGTGTGTCTACCTTAAGTTTCCTGAATGGCAAATCATGAACAAATGTTTCTTCTCTGCCCCTCTTCTTGGCTTCTCTGAACTGTATTGCCCCCCAGCCCCCCTCTCATCTCCCTAAACCTTCATTCTCTCCATTCTCCTGCCTCCAGAGTCTCACCCTATATATGCCTTGTTTTTCCATAAAATAATTTACCCGCCAACTCCATTCATGGGTACTTGCCCAACAGAAGTGTGTCATGCATCTCTTCATCAAAAGGAATGGATCGACTGTCTATAGAAACTGCAACTCCAAAGCCAAAAGCACCAAACAGCTATGCTGAGTGGCAGAACAAATGATGGCATGTGCCCGCCGATGCCATGGCAGGCTGTCCAGCGACGATGATGACGGGCCACAGCTACATGCCACAGCTCAGAAGGGACCTCTACAGCTGTTGTCACATGTCTGCTATGGGACTGTCCTGTGGGTGTGGCGAGTCTGGGTGTCAACTAAGGAAGGGATGGGGGCGAGGGGTCAGGAAGGGAGCTTTGGGGGCTCCTAGTTCTTCTGGTGGCTGGTTCCCTGGGTGTGTTCAGTCTGTGGAAACCTTAATTGACAAGCTGCGCCTTTCTGTGTATGTTATTCTTCAATAAAAAGTTGGATTTTGTCACTACCAGTCCAAAAAAAAAGGTTTTTTTTTTTCATTTTGCACAACTTTCTACTTCTCTTTAGGTATAATGTCATTTGTGGATATCGTGGATTGTCATCGTGGGATATTGGCAGCATTTTGAAGTAAGAAATACTTAGAAAGCACAGCCATCTGGACATAATATGGGCTCTCAGCAGCAGGCAGTCTAGGCGCTCCAGGTTGTAGAATTTGTATTCTGGAGGGGGAGGGGGGGAGCCTCCCAGGATTTCCCACTTGGTTCAGCTGCTCTATAAAGGAGGCGGGTGGTATCCTCAGCAGTGAGTGGAGGAGGACACCACCTCCAGGCAGGGCGCCCAGACCACCTTCAGGCAGGATGCTCAAGACACCACCTCTGGGCAAGGCTGGGTCTGGGATGACATGTCTGAATGCAGTCTCTCCTGAATGCAAACCTCGCCTCCCAAGCTGCCCATTAGGAGGGGCCACTGAGGCCCACGTGGTTGCTTCAAAGGCTCTGAGACTCCTTCCAAACCTCTGATGATTTCCGCGGGTCCCCCGCTGTCCCTGTGCTCACTGCCCCCAGGACGGCCATTCTTCTCACAGTCTGACATGCAGCAACCCATGGTGATCATAGAGCTGCTTCCTGCTGGGCTCCTGACTCGTGAGACCAAAGGTCTTACCTCTGATTCTGAGCTCCAGGCCCCCACTCACTTCACCTCCTGTAATGAACAGTGAGTCTCAGTTGTTAACAGCCTTCCTCTGAGGGAGCCACAGTGGGGAAGCAGATCCAAGGTTAGAAGGAATTGTTTCCGGTGTCTGTTCGGATTCAAGGCGAAAATAATAAGGCCGATAACAGTGAATATTTGGACCCAAGACCAGAGTCTATGGTAATAGACTTTATTTACACTTCTATTATTGGCAGGCGGGGTGGTCTTTGGTATGAAAAGATCCTTGACATATTTCGTTGTTAACTCAGCACCAGATCCCTGACATATTTCGTTGTTAACTCAGCCTTATGAGTTACAACTGTATCAATATTAATATTTTAGGTGAACAGTGTTACTGTGCTACACCCACCACCAGCTAGGTGGTTTTTGTGGAGAATCTGAATGATGTTTCCTTTTAGCACCCCAGATTTCAGCTAATGCTTCTGGGCAGGTGGGCATGCCACACTGCTCTCCCCAGGAACATAAACTGCTGTCGTTCCCATTGCTGTGTTTCTGGAGGTATAGGTGAGCTCGTGTCAAAACCCCACATCCCATCCCATGTCCAACAAAAAGCTTCTACTTAATTCGTAGCAAAAAAAAAATAATCTACAAGGGACGAAGCAATAGTACAGCAGGGAGGACATTTGCCTTGCACGCAGCCGACCTGGGTTCTGTTCCTGGAATCCCATATGATCCTGTGCACGGCCAGGAGTAATTCCTGAGAACAAGCCAGGAGTGACCCCTGAGCATTGCCAGGTGTGACCCAAAAAGCCAAAAGAAAGGAAAAGAAAAGAAAAAAGAATCTACAAACTTAGAAAACATTCAGGGTCATGCAGGGTTATTAAACAAATTCTGGGGTTTTGCGAACCACCTACCTTCAAAGATTTCCAAGTGACGGAGACTGGTCGCCCAGACCCCGTCCACTCCAGGGTTTGGGTCTCTGCTCAGGGGTCACTCCTAGACAAGCTCAGGGAACGTTCACATTGCTAGAGATGGAAAAGAGGTCAGCTGCATGCAAGGCAAGTGCCTTACCCACTGGATTCTCTCTCCAGCCCCCTGAGGGGCTCTTTA